GACAGACAGACAGACAGACAAACAGACAGACAGACAAACAGAATGAAACTTTTCCGGTCAGTGGAGTAATGGGCTTCGCTAATCGCTCAGCCAAAAAACATCTTTCCTAGAAGGAACACGTCAGAGTAGAACCCCTTGGGCCAAAACAGGCTTCGCGATATCTCACGAAACACTGTTACGCTACGCTGAGACGCGCCTGGCATACATCTACCCAGGCCTGCGGCGCTGACACCGGAGTCGGGCAAAAGGCATCGTAAATAGGCCTTCGGCCCCAGAAGTCAAAAATGTTGTGCCTCGGGGTTTTACTTTGACGAATTACTCCACCCGAGACCATAAAATATCTGAGAACAAGCAGGCCCGCCCTTCCGCCAAACGAAGTTGCCAGCTCCGCTTCGCTCCGCCGGCAACTCCGTTCGGCAGGGGCCGGGCATGCTTGGCCGATGGTCCGACCATTTCTGTCACGCGATTTGCTGAAGAACGTGATCGAATGATGTAACCTGTCATCTTTGAGTTTGCCCCAAAGATTCGAGAAAGGGATGTAACGGTGAAGCACCGCGACTACAACCCACCCTTCTGCTTGGAATACGTTTTTTGGGGGGTGGGGGGAGAGTTTCCTTTCTATTTTGCGGTTTTTAGGCCTTCTTCTACATCTTATTGTTCACTATGGCAGTAGTATAGATGCTTCATGTCACCCGCCGCCATGTTTATGCCCCCATGTCACCCATGCCCCCATGTCACCTATGCCCCCATGTCCCTTGTCGCCCGGGTACTCGTACCTCACCTAGATCTTAATAGGTGGTAACTCGTACCTAACCTAGGGGCGTAAGTCGGTCGGCCATGTTGGTCTTATCAGGAGCTAACTCCGTACCTAACCCTGTCTTATCAGGGCCTAACCCAAACCTAAGTCGGTGACGGGGAGGCAGTCTTATCAGGGCCTAACCCAAACCTAACCTAGGGGCGTAAGTGATCGAGGATGAACAGAGCATCTTATCAGGTGTTAACTTAAGTAGAGCATGTGTGATCGAAGATCGTATGTCAGGGTGGCCGAGTGGTTAAGGCGCCTGCCTCAAGAGCAGGTCCCCCTGTGGGATCGTGGGTTCGAATCCCACCCCTGACATTTTCCGCGCCCGGTCGCGCGCTGTGTGTAAGTGACGCCGCTGTGCACCGCGGAGTGTGTTGTGCGGCGCGTATGAAGAGCATCTCGAGAGGTAAGTATTTTTTTAAAACATTTTCTTTGGAGTGTAGTCTTTGCTTTGTGCTTGCTGCCTCATGTCTTTTCCGCAGGTGAAACAGAAAAGTATGAATGTGCATCGAACGGGCTCCGAACCCGCGCCCTCCGCATGGAGGACAGTGCCTCAGCCCACGCGGCCGACGCGTCGCAGTGGGGCTGGCGCGCAGCGGAGCCATCTGGAGCCGGCCGGCGGCGGGCGCCGTCTGTAGCTACCCCTTCCACCCGCCCAGCGTCTGCCTGACCGCCGCCGCGTAAGCGGGTAAGATTTTTGAATATTACCTTTTGGTAATGGCCACGAGGGGCGCCACTGTCGCGCGCACTAATTGGTCGACGGAACCTTTTTCGAAAAGGTTTTCGGAAAGGCGGCGGCGCCGAGCGGGGGGGCGTGGCGGGGATCACGGCCGTGCGCTGCGCATCACTTCATCTCCAGCCGTCAACAGACGCATCTCGTGTCCGTGTCGTGTCCGTGTCACCATGTCCGTCAGTCCAATTAATGACCCCGACGTGCTGTTGATCCGGGTCACAACCCGAGAGGTTGCCGAGATGGATCGACTTTTGGTAAGTACACATAATCATCAAGTGTTGTGATAGGGAAATATGTGAATGAGATTAGTGAAAATCGGATTGTGTCGCGTGTGTGGCTGTAGAGGCTTGTTGTTTTCTGAGGGCGTAGGGAGTGTTTTTTAGACTAGAAGTGTGAAAATTTGTGGTGATTGTGAGTGAAATTTGAGGTGAATTTGAGTGAAAATGATCAAAGAGTCATTCCCTATACCGGTCGGCTCCGCGCTCGGCTCGGCTCGGCTCCGCGCTCGGCTCGGCTCGGCGTTCGGCTCGGCTCGGCTCCGGACGCAGCTTCGTTCAAGTTTAACATCGTGATCAGCTGAGAGGGTAGTTTCGTTGAAATTTTGAAAGTCGGGTGCGTGTGTGTGTGTGTTCGGGTGTTATTCGGCTCGGCTCAGGCCGGCTCGGCTCGGGCCGGCTCGGCTCGCCCGGTCGGTGGAACGCGGCAGGACCGTGAGAAAAAGAGGGAGGGTAGTCGGGGCGTTCGAATTTGTGTTCAAAACGTGGGGTTCAGATTGTTGCTACTTAGAACGTCGGGTTCGTGTGTGTGTGTGTTCGGGTGTCACTCGGCTCGGCTCGG